ACAAGTCTAGCCCTCATGTATAAGAGGCCTTATATGCCTTGATACTATCTTAAAAACCTGACAACCTCACAAAGTGTGAACAAGCCTAAGCTACATGGTTACAAATTAGAAAGCATGTAGAATAGTCAAGGCCAGAAGAACCATCCTCCAAACCACCCAAGTCACCAGTGAACATCAGAAGATATGCCCAGCTCCAAATAATCCCTGGCCTCCCCAAGTTTTCTACTACTAAAATCAAGATATAACTAAAGTGTGGTGGTTTAAAAGTCACTAACTAAACTTGGTAGTTTCATGGTTTGTTAAGCAGTAAAACCTAAAGAAAATAAAGAACGAATTCTTCATCAACTCATTTTTTAAACATTAGTTCAGTCTTCAATATTTCAAGTGGTTACTGGGGATACAAAGATTAACACAGAACAGTGCCCGCAATTCCAGTCATTTCCCCTATACACACAAAGATGTAGCAGTAACAAGATCTACTTAGGAAAACAAAATGGTCCAAAAAGGCCGTATTAGAATGGGCATGGTATTACACATCTATAATTACAGCACCCAGGAGAGGCAGAAAGATGATGTGTTCATGACCAGGATGAGCTACACAGCTAGTTCCAGGTGAGACCTTGACTTAAAAGAGGCCACATTTAAGCCAAACACCATTTTGAAAAGGAAACTGGAACCAGGAAGTAGCTCAGTGGTAGAGCTCTTACCTAGCTTATACAATCTGAGTTCCTTCCCCAGCAAAAGGAAAGGAAAACACAGTAGAAGAAAGTGATAGCTAAAACAGAGAGACAAGAAAGAACTCAAGGAATGTTCTAGAAATGGCAAATAGTTTAGGGCAGATGGAGTGTAGGGAGGAAGTAGCAGATGATGGAGCAGGAAAACAGATGGAAGGCCAACACTGAAGGGATATCTCAAGGATATTGTGCGTCTTGCTGTGAAATTTGAATCCCTCTTGTAAGACTTGAGTGCTACAAATTGTCCCTAAGGAATAAATGGAATAATTAGATGTTATAAGAAATCTGATGACAGTTGCAGATGGATTAGAGCCAGAGTCCAATTCAGGTAGACCAGTTGGAAAGCAATTGCTACATTCTCAAGGGGTAGTGAACATGGGGGAGAGAAGATGTCTTTGAAAGATGCTTCAGAGACAGGAGCAAAGTTCAGGAGACTTGACAATCAACTAAATATGGGTTGTGAAGGTAAGAAATGTTGTGGGAAGATCAGGAACTATGCCAAGACTCTACTACTTTGTAACCCTAGAAGCATGGTAAGTAGATTAAGAAAGAAGAGTAGACTGGAAAGGAATGCCCATGTTCCCTACAAAGGCACTTGTAGCACATCCTCAGGGAGACAGACAAGAGGACCTTAAAAAGTGGGCCACATCCAGACCCTGAGTAGTGAAATAGATACTAGAAGATAAAGACTTAGGGCATCTTGTTATGTTGTTTGGTTGATAGCGTCTCAGTCGGGCAGTGATTGACTCACACGCCTTTATTCCCAGCATTCGGGAGGCAGAGGCAGGTGGAACTGAGTTAGATCTGGTCTACAGAATAAGTTCCAGGACAGCCTGGGCTACACAAAGAAACCCTGTCTGGAAATACGTAAAACAACAACAAAAAGATGGGGTCTCATTATACAGCCCAGGCTGGCCTAAAACATCTCACCTGCCTGCCTCAGCCTCTTTAGTGTTGGGATTTTAGGGGTATCTTAATGTAGGGAATAGAGAAAGTTCAAAAGACAGAAGTGAAGGTGTGAATGCAGAACATTCAGGAAACAGACAAAGATGCAGAAAACAAAAGGCTGATGGATGAAAAAATTCTGGGAGAAGCATCAGTAATGGTGATTGGGAACAGAGGGAAGCCTTGAGATATCCACTTTGCCCATTCAGTCCTGTAGCTATCAGTCCTCCCCATGGGCTCCTCTCACTATCAAGCAGGACTTAAATGATGAATCAATGACAGAAATTTAGAACATGAATGACAGCATCTATATCCAGGGAGAAAACACTAAACATTTTAAATGGTTTTTTTTTTTTTTTTTTTTTTTGATTTTTGAGATAGGGCCTCATATTAGAGCAGGCTGGTCCCAAACTTGGGCTAATCCTCCTGTTTCTGCCTCATGAGCACTGGGATTATAAATATATTCAATGGATCCAAGAAAGGGGGGTACATACAACTTTTTAAATCCACTTTATGCCACCTACAACAGCAATGGATATCAGCTTTGATCCTTGGGGCACATATTTGAAATGTGCTTATATAAGTTGATCAGTCCAAATCCATAACCAGAAATTCTCCAAAGTCTGAAAAAGTTCATGTCTGACCTCACATGACAGTCAAAACATTGGTATACTAAAATAAATAAAGCGTTTAGAATTACCACCAAGCAGTTTGATTAAGTTATATAAATATAAATGAGTCACACTTAAACTCAGTTCCCATTAGATAAAGACAAGTACTCTAAAACCTAAATACTTCTTCTGGACTCAAGCATTTAGATAAAGGTCTACTTAACTCTATAGCTAAAGATGACAGCTACCAAATAAATTATCTTCATGTGTCCTTAGCAATTAGAAAAAAAGAGCTTAAAAAAAGTAGACCCTGGTGATACCAGTAAAAAACATAGTCTTAGAGGGTGCAGCCTATGTGGCAGGGACTAATAATGGGAACACACTGTGCTGGCACAAGCTTGTCACTTCAGAGGGTCGTTACCTGTTTGTCAAAGAACTCTACTCATTGCCGCTATGTAGAGCGACCTCAACACTAAACAGAGATTTCTTCCTGACGGTCTGCCAGCTGATCCAGACAGCTGGCAACCAGCTCCTCCTACCACAGGTGGCCGAAGTTAATGAGATGCTTTAAAAGCAATACAAGGCCATTATGGTGGTGCATGGCTGTAAACCTAGCATTCAGGAAGCTAGGACAGAAGGATCTGCTGAAGTTAGAAGCAGCCCAGGCAGGACTGTTAGTCCCTGTTTCAAAAATAAAATTTAAAAATAAAAAGAACTCTGAAGTAGGCAAAGATTTCCTAGATAGAACAAAGGCAATAGTCATAAATGGAAAAAAAAACAAGGGCACTTTATTAAAAATATCAAAAGACATGTTAAGAATAAAAAGGCATCCAAAAAAAAAAAACAGAATAAAAAGGCAACCCGCAGGTTGGCAGAAAAAAATTTTTGAAGCAGGGTCTCACAAGTGGCCCAGGCTGTCCTTGAACTAACAACCGTCTTACCCCCCAGCTCCTGAGTGATAAGATTGTAGGTGTGTACCATCAAACCCATAAATACTCATATATATATATAAACCTGACAAAGGACTCATATGAAGAATGTTTCTTACAATAAAATAAGGGGGGATCAAAAGTGGGTAAAGAGTTGGGCATGGTGCTTCATGTTTTTAATCCCAGCACTTGGGAGCCTGGGGTAAGAGAAATACCAGTTGGACTGTTGGAAGCCAGTCTGAGCTACATACCAAGTGGAGGTCAAGCCTTAAAAAAAAGGGCAAAAGATTTGAACAGGCACTCACAAAGGATATACAAATATCAATGACATTTATAGCATTCAACATCACTACTCAATTTAAAAAGTGGTTTTTAAACCCACAAGGATCACCTCACACTAATTTGAATGGGTACTACTGGAAACGAAACAGAAATTACAAGCTGTGGTAAGGCTGTGGAGAAATTAGAATCTTCACATTACTGTCAGGAGTGTAAAAAAATGCTCTAAACACAACACAAACAGCATAGCAGTTCCTCAAAACACTAAAAATACAATTCTTCCAATTACTCTACTTTATGTATAATGTATATACTGAAAGAGCAGAGAGCAGAGCCTTAAGGAGGTATCTGTACCCTTAGGTGTACAGCAGTGTTATTCTCAACAACCAGAAGGTGGCACCACTCAAGAGTCTACGGACAAGTGAATGGATAGCATGAGATCACATACACAAACAATGTATTAATGGAGAGAGTTACAACATGGACAGACCTTGAGGCAGTATTCTAAGTGATATAAGCCATTAAGAAGGAGGAGGAAGAACAGGAGCAAGAGGAGGAAGGAGGAGGAAGAAGAAAGAAGAAAGTCAGAGCACTGTAGAGGAGGAGACGACAACCCAGAGCATTGTAAGATTCTACTCATTTAGCACCTACAGTGTCTGATTCATAGATAGAAACTAGAATGGTGGTTGCCATAATAGCATGGGGGAATAAGGCATTATAGTTTATCAGTTTTGGTTTTATAATAATTCTTGTGATGAATAATAGGGATAGTTAATGTGAATGTAGTTGATGTCATTACCTATGTACCAGAAAAATATCTTAAATAATAAATTGCATGTATATATTTTTAATCACAACTCTAAAGAATGTATTTTTAAACCTACAAAAAATACCACTATGTCCTCATCAAAAATAGGTAAAATTCAAATAAAAAGAAATGAGTGACTATAGTCTCCTACTTGGGAAGCTGAGGATCACTTCAGCTCAGAAATTATAGACCAGTCTCGGCAACAACAAATACAGACAGCGAGAGCGTGCCTCAAAAATGAATGAATGAATGGACAGACAAACAGACAGACAAAGTGTTGCTTAAAATGTAGAGAGGAATCAGAACTCTTATGCCCCACCAGTAGAATTTAAATTGGTACAACCACTTTGGAAAACTGTTGACATCTACTGAAGCTCAATGCTATAAGTAACACACTCTCTTTCCTAAGTTTATGTCTGGAGAACTGAGTGGAAATGTGAAGCAAAGAACACAAGCAATAATGTTCAAATATGCTTTATTCATTTTAGCCAAATATTGGACACTAACCAAAGGTGTAACAGGAAACAAGTAAATTATTGCTCAGTATATTCAAAGGAACTACTGATCACACAACCTGTGAAAGAAGATATACACCAGAGAGTTCCAATTGTGTGATATTATTTCTATGGATCTTAAAACCAGATTAAAGCAGTGGATTAAGTTTTGTTGTTATTTTAATGGCAATTTAGTTTACCTTCATGATGGAGTCCAGATGAATATTGAACAGACTGGGCAACAACTCTCCGGAAGTGCTGAAAATGTACTAGGCTTGATCTGTCATGGGCTGCATATTCACAGAAAACGTTAAGTGAGCATCAATCATACTTTGGATTAACGCACTTTATACTTTTATTGCTTGTTTGTTATATCTCAAAGGTAAATTATATGTAAAGCACCTCAGGTCTTTCACTTGGGTGTCTCTGATTCCAAAAGTTAACAAATTGCAACCTTGATCCTTTTCCTTTTCTGACTTGGAAGTTTGGAGTCTATTGCACCCAGACTTGCTAGTTTCCCAAGATTCTTGATGAATCTGACTCAGAGCAAACTTCCTGTTCCTATGTTTTTCAGTGTTCCCTTTCCTAAAACCACTCTGTATCTATTGGGTTTTTATAATAACCTGTTTTTTATTTAATTTCGTCTATACTTGAAATCTACAACTCTTGTTTGCTTTCTACTGGTCAAATGTCCAACTTAACATTGTTTATCTTTTGGGTTTTGGGTTTTGGGTTTTGGTTTTTCAAGACAGGATTTCTCTGTGTAGTCTTGGCTGCCCTGAAACTTTCTCTGTATACCAGGCTGACCTCGAACTCAGAGATCTGCCTGGCCCTACCTCCCAAGTGCTGGAACTAAAGATGAGAGCCACCATACCCTGCCCTGCAGGGGTTTTTTGTTGTTTTTGTCTGCAACAGGGTTTCACTTCATAGCACAGATTTCATCTGCTATTGCTTCCCAAGGGCAAGTATTAAAAATCATGCACCAACATGATAGTAGTCCTTTTAATTTTCCAAACATCATGGATGGAATTTTATTTTAATTCATTGTTAGCTCATCCCGCACCCCCCCCCACCCCCCCACCCCCCCCCCCCCCCGCTAGTTATAAAGGCAGAATGTCAAAAATCAATGTAGGACTGGGGATGGTCCCCAAATGTTAGAACATTTGCCTTGTATGCACTCAAAGCCCTGAATTCCATTCCCAAAAGCATCTCCCACACACCTCCAAAAATTATCTGTGTATGTATGTGTATATTTATTTACATATGATATATATATATAATATATATCATAAGGTGTTAATTAATCATGGGGGGGTCACACCTGTGCCAAGTCAGGTCCTGCCACTCACCCTCAACAAGCCAATTAAAAGAGCCAAATTAAACATGGAAAGCAGAAAAGGGGAAATGTATTCAATCTGGACACATTGAGAAAAGAGACAGAGATCCAATATCCCCCAAGTCAGTCTGAGTCCTGAAGTGAGATCAAAGTTAAAAGGCCCAAGGATTTGCATATCTAAGCAGTCCTAGTCAAGGTATGGTACTGTGGGATGGTCTGTATGTCAAATGTGTTGCTGATTGGTCAATAAATAAATCACTGATTGGCCATTGGCTAGGCAGGAAGTATAGGCGGGACAAGGAGGAGAATAGAGCTGGGAAGTGGAAGGCTGAGGGGGAGACACTGCCAGCCGCCATCATGACAAGGAACATGTAAAGTACCGGTAAGCCACAAGCCACATGGCAAGGTATAGATTAATAGAAATGGATTAATTTAAGCTGTAAGAACAGTTAGCAAGAAGCCTGCCACGGCCATACAGTTTGTAACCAATGTAAGTCTCTGTGTTTACTTGATCGGGTTTGAGCGGCTTGGGACTGGCGGGTGAGAGAGATTTGTCCTGACTGTGGGCCAGGCAGGAAAACTCCAGCTACAGTATGGTCTCATCTACAAAGACCCATCATTATCTGGCTGTAAGGTGTTCTGACAAGTTGTTATAACTGTGTGAAATGTCTTTCCCAGAGATAAGTTGCCCCTCTGGCTGAGGGCTTTTCCTTCTCACAGCATGAGATTCCTGGGGAAATTCCTGTTTCAATAGTCTGATAATCAGATTGAAAAACACAAGTCTTTTTAGAGTATCTTCATTTCTGCCAGGCAGGTTACAGTGTTATCACACTCCAGTATTTGATAAATGTGTGGTATCCCTCCCATACCTGTTCTTTCCACCCACCATCTACCCACTCTAAGAGAAACCTTCATTCTTCTTATAAAGGGAGATTTTATTGCCTGACCCTAAATAGTCATATAGCACAGGTAATATCACCTTCCTTTCAAAAAAGAAAAGGAGGGGCAATGTCTTTCCCCACCTCCCCTGGCTCCTGCCATTAGTGATAATGTGAATATTAAAGACCTTAATATGCAAATCTTACAATGTAATAATAAGCACCAAATACTTTTGCTGTCAGTTTTACAAACTTGATTGCCTCTGCATTGCATATAACATTTCCTTAGTTTAGTCAAAGGAACAAAATGCTAGGCTGGAAAAGCAGCAAGGTAATAATTGTGAAGTGATGAAAAGGTATTAAACACAGAAAGAGTAGTGTAAAAGAAACTACCTGGGCAGGGCTAAGCGGTAGAATGCTTGCCTAACACACACAAAGTCCCAGCATAAACCAGTATTTTTTGCACACACCCATAATGCTAGCACTTGGGAGGCAGAAGCAGGTAGATCAGAATTATAAGGATGCCTGATCAATGTGATATGGAATTAACAGCAGCAGTTTTTACATTGGCTCAACAAGACAAGTCAGAAATGTAACTTACAAAAAATAGCTTGGAGCAGCTGGCAGATTTAATGTTTCAGGAAAAATATGTTAAAAAGAAAGGATCAAACCACTCCTTAAAATGCACCATGTGGACACAATGAAATAACAATGCTTTTCTTTTAGAACAGTAAACTGAGGTAATCTGGTGTACTGCATAATTTTATTTAAACCTACTATCTGAAATAGATTAGTCTTGCTTTCTGAGAGAACCTCAAATGTATTTTCATTTCATAAAAGTCAGTAGAAATGTCAAAATATTTAGCATAAAAACAAATGGGTTAGTATTACTGGAATGCAATAATTATAAAGCTGGATAGGTGGATTAATTGTCCTACATACCTGTGGTTTTTCGGATTCCTGTGTTTGCTTACTCATGTACATTCAACTCTTATTTTTCAAAAACCACTTCTGGAAGCTTTTGGCTTCGACACTGCCACCTGTAGACATAAAGGAGAAATAAATCATGTATTATTCATCAGCACTGCATCTTTCCTAGGCATCTAACAGAGAAAACGGGAGGAAAAGTGACAAAATAATTTGCTCCGAAAAACCGAAGTGTTCTTTCTTCCAATGCAACATACCTAAGGCATATCCTTCCACAATAGTTTGATAAAGTACTTCATTAGCAACCGAAACGTACTAAGTCCCAGGTCATCAACCAAATGGCCTTCTGAATAGTTCATTAAAAGAGATGGGAGTTCTGCTAATCCCAGCCTCAGGAAGGTAGAGAAGGAAAATGGATACGCATTTGAGACCATCTTGGGCTACCTACGGGGTTCCAGGCTAGTCTAGGGAGGAAAAAGAGAGGGAGACGGGGGAGATGGGTGTGTGTGAAAGGGAGAGAACACGGGAGGAGGAGAGATGAGAGGGGGAAGGGGGAGAAAGAGCACGTGCCAGCATAATTTACAGCCATTTCGAGACCTACCATTTAAAATTAGAAGTCAACTTGCCCAGTATGGTAATTTGAGAATAAAGAATTCCATAAATTAACCAGATAGAGAGAAGGGACCTACGCTAAGGTTACTTTATCATAAGATCATAAGATATCTATTTAAAAATTATAATTCCAGTCTGAAAATCTAAACAGATTTTCAGTGGGTTGTCTTCATCATAGTGCCCTGGCCCTGATTTGAACACAAATCCTGAAAGATATTCCCTACATCTTATTGATTAAAATACAGATGGATCTTTTTTTTTCTTAAAAAAAAAGTCACAGAAGGAACAGAGGAATAAAATATGCATAAGCAATTACCAGAGAATCCAAGCGGCCATAGATAAAAGAAGGGTTTGTGTCGGAGGGAAAGATAAAGACAAACCTTGAAATTCTGTAGTTATTTAAAAATATGAGGAAGCGCCTTGCCTGGCTGCTGCACCTCCACCTCAAGAGGGGCAGCTCGTCGGAGCACTACTCTTCCCAGGAAAAGTGGTCATCTCCTTTCAGGCTCCAACGTGTTATGCCAAAGACACAAGAAGCAGTTCCCGCGCCCACCCCCTGACGAGACAGCAAAAGACTCTGTCTTACTTGCCTGGCTTGCTACCCGGCCAAGCCTGGACTTCTTTGCCCACACCAAAGACGCATCCCACTTACCCATCATTTTTACTTTAAAGCTCGAAAGCTCGTTTTGTTTTACGGAACTGCGCAAATCCTGGAAAACCAAGTCTCCTTGATTCACTCGTCTCCTCCTTCCTAGGGTGTTCATCCAAGAAAAAAAAAAAAAGAGGAAGGAGGAGAAGAAGAAGGAGAAGAAGGAGAAGAAGGAGAAGAAGAAGGAGGAGGAGGAGGAGGAGGAGGAGGAGGAGGAGGAGGAGGAGGAGGAGGAGGAGAAGAAGAAGAAGAAGAAGAAGAAGAAGAAGAAGAAGAAGAAGAAGAAGAAGAAGAAGAAGAAGAAGAAGAAGAAGAAGAAGAAGAAGAAGAAGAAGAAGAAGAAGAAGAAGAAGAAAGAAATAGAGACCAAAAACCTTCTCCCTTCCCAAGCCCGACTGTACCCTGGACCATCCCAAGGAAGGTTTCTGAGTATCCGCCAAGGACTAATACCGCTCCCACGTGTCTCCATGAAGACCTTGTGGAGTGCAAATGTGCACGAGCGCCCGAGGATAGTGTGTGCGGTCAGCCCTCGGAGGTAAGTTCCACACACCCATCACCCCAGCCCCCACCCCAGCTCGGACAGCAGGAGGGAGCCCCCGAATGTGGTGACACGCTGGCACACAATACTCTAGCAACTCCAACCTTCCCCAGCAATCCTGCCACTAGTCTCCCCTCACCCAGTCCCTTCAGTCACCGCAGGTCGAGAGCAGGATCGTCCTGGTAGCATTTGGGTGGGGATCCGGAAGGTTGGAGCGACAGGCAACCACCACCCAGATTGCGAATGGATAAAGGGGTCGCGGTCGCCAGACACCGCATGGAAGCTCAGCTCTTCCAAGGAGTCGAGGTGAGGACCGGCCCTAAGATACCCGAAGGAGTGAATCCCACAGGCGGTAATTCTCCCGCACCTCTCCCTGACCTAGCTCGAGCGCGCGTTCAAGCGCGCACCCTTGGGGGCAGAGTACCCTCCTCTGCCAATTGGGACCTGGCCGGTCCTTGCCCACGATGGCCAAAGCAGCCCTGCTTTCCAGGCCGAGAAGCGGGCAAGGAGCCACTGTTGCTCGGGTGGACCCACCTGAACGCAGGGTGCGCCCGCTGGTGCGCTGTCTCCAGCAGCCTGAGAAGGCGACGACCCGCAGACCACGGGACCCCACACGCGGCCTCGCTTCCTCAGAGAAGCGGGCAGAGCTTCTCTGGAGCCTGGAGGACCGCTCGTCCACCTGGCTTACAGGTTCTGTTAACTGGGTCCAGCGACCAGCCCAACCCGAGCCTTCATCTCCGCCCCTTTCCCGCCACCGGCGCTGCGCTGCGCTCCGCCCCCCAGCCGCCAGCCCCTCGCTGCGGGGGGCCCAGCCCCTGGCTGCCTGGCCCGCGCCTCTTGCAGCAGTTCCCCGGTCCTAGGCACAGCCGTGAGAACTAGGGGCAGCCCTGGGATCCGCCCCGACCCCTGCTATCCTAACCTTCCCGCGCTTAGCCGGCGGCCAAGGCGGTGGGCACTGCACGCTCTGCCCTGTTCTTCCGCTGTCTCTTCACTCCCTGCCAGGCACCTTCCACCGCCCGGCGGCGGGTGAATGCCTCCTGCTTTGTAGGAAAGGCGGGTAGAGGGGATGGGGAGTCAAATAAAGTGGAGTACAGTGAGCCAGTGAGAGGAGGCAAAGAAATAACCATGTCAACGGGCAGGGATGAATGCAAGTTGCTGCCTGCGCCCTGTTTCTGTTACATTATCAGGATATGCTGCTGTCCTTGTTAAAACCGCAGTAATGTTCAGAGGCATCAATCTAAAGATTTCCATGCTAATTGGTATTGGGCTGTTGGCTTTTTTTTTTCTTGAGGGGGGTGATGGCAGAAGACAACAGGCTCCATTTCTTTAAAAGTTGCATTTTTTATGTATTGTATATGCCACCTTTCTCATTTAAAAACAAAAATAAATAGTAGAACAGCTATGTTTTACAGAAAAAGATTCAGTGTATATGTATTGTTTAAATCCACTGTAATTACATTAATTGGCTCCTTTTTAAGTATATTTTAAGTATTTCATTAAAATAGGCTCATAATTTTGGGATCAGGAACCCCAGAGATTTCATTTGATTTTTGTCTTTATTTCTAAGATGTCAGTTTCATGGAGATTACCAAATGTAGTTATATAGAAAAATGAATCCTTTTTCTTCCAGGTTAACAATATGTTTAGATCTGGAAAAGAACAAATTATTTTTAAAGCCAAGAAAAAATAAGATTCTCTCTCATTTTTCTAATGATGGACTATCTGATCTGGTAGCTTTTTCTTTAATTCTTTCTCCTTCAGGCAAACTTCCTTCCTTTTTTACATTTTCCTTCCAAAATTTCCCTTCAATCATAACATGGTTTTTGAGCATTTGTCTTCTTAAACAGGATAGGAAAATTCCTGATCATCCATTATCAAAATCCATCTGAATCTCATGATACTAAATTTTCAACCCTGCTTTTAGTCATTCATTTAACCTAATACTTGGGAACAGATCTTTTTCTTTGATAATTGTTTTGAGACAGGATTTGGCTATGTAGCTCAGCCTGGCTTTGAACTCTTGGTTCTCCTACTCCTGAGGGAACCAAGAATTGGTTTTAAGTTTCATACTTATAAGAATAAAGTACACACTTTTTAATTAACACTGTGAACCAAAATTAAATTCATTAAATTGACTAATGAGAAGTATAGTAGTACTTACTGTATGTGTTACTGGGTAAATCAGGACAACATGGATGATAAACAGTCCTAAAGAAGAGATGCTGAAGTAAAGAAGACAATCTTTAGAAACTGAAGATACCCTTTCTTGTGGAAAGCATGACAAATGCTAGTGTTATGCAAAGAGTGACTGCGGCCTCCTCTCTCTTCTGGCTGTAGCTAGTCCTGCATTTATCTCCTTTGATCATCATAATAAAAATAAAGTAATTTACCATTCTGGTAGCATTGCTAGTAAATTAGCAATTTAAAGATGCTTTTATTACCTAATTAATCCAAGTAAATGCCTCCAATAAATTCAGTTTTATTCTAACATTTATTTCTGCCTCCAAAGAAATACTTGCAAGAATTAAAAACAGCTAAGGTTAAAAACTAGTAGTAATTGCAAGCCAGAGTCTTTGGTCAGGTGTGTGTTGCTGAAGAGTTAGAAGAGTTAATATTAAGTGACCTCTGTACATTAAGTTATATATCAGATATTGATTCTCAACTGTTCATTGGCTGCTTCTATAATGAGTTCCAGTGTGGCCTTGTCTATCCTCTAGAAATGAATTTCATTTCTTTCTGTCTACCTTATTGAATCTATCTTTGTCTAAACTATTTCCATTGAATTTTCAAGACTCAACCCCGGATCTATAGAGCTCACTTAACAGTTGTCCTTCAGGTTGAGTCTCCCTTGAGTTCTTTGGTTTAGAAGAAAAAAAAAGTCAGCATGATTAAACATCTAAATTTGGAAAGAATACTTCAGGAATAGTTAATTTTTTCTAATGTAATTCATTATTGATGCTTTGGAAATTTATGCACCCCAATCCTACTCACCTCCCAGACCCTCCATTTCTGCCCCTCACCCCTGCAGTATGCCACCCAAAATTAATTAAAAACAAAACAAAACAAACAAACAAACAAAAACACGAAAATCTCACTTCATTCCTCCATCTTTCCAGCACTTCTTCATTCATCTTAGTGATATCGGGAGCTGTGTGTCATGCAGTATACCCCTTTTGTCCAATCAGCCCCACCTGCAAAATGTTCAAGGTCTGGTTCAAGCCCTCTTGTTTCTGATATACCATTGTTACTGGGCCCTCATCAAAACTCCTCTCAGATATCCTGTTGTTGCCCCAAGTCATGGCGATCTTGACAGTTATCATTTTAGCAGGACTAGTCCCTTTGCACATTCCAGCAGGTCATAGATGGGACAGCTGTTAGACTGGGCCAACCCAAGGCCTAAAACGTGGGTCTGGGTGGTAGCTGAGCTGGTCGGCCCTAGCCATTGGGACCACCCCCTCAAGCAAGGGGCAGAACCCATGCCTTTGGGGCCAGCTCTCCCAAATACTGGGGTCAACTCTTCCGTGGGGAAGGCAGCACCAGTTCTCTTGCTGCAGTGTTCAGCAGGGGCAGAATGCCAGCTATCCCAGGACCAGTGAGGGACAGGCTGGCTTAGCACGGCCTTCGGATCTCAACACGCATGGTTCCTATGGACCCCTGTGGTAACAGGAGCTGTGGACATCAGCCCAGACCCTGGCTGCTGTTGGGCCACAGACCCAGACATGGCTCACGGCAGCAGCCTAGGCCTGAATACCATGTACCCCGGTGGCACCATAGGTCACTCACATCAACATGGTCCCATGTTGCACAGCCCTTGGACACCAAAATGGCCCACAACCCCGTGGCCTTGTTGCAGTGTAGGTCATGGATATCAACATAGACCCTGGTTGTTGTAGACCCATGGCTGTAGGCAGCAGCCCAGACCCAGATGCCACTCACACACAGCCCTGCTTCTTCAGAACTGCCTCTTACCACAGTACACGAAGCGTTCTGTCTCTCTCTCCATTTCACCACCATATATACTTGCTCATCATATTGGCACCCAACTCAGGGCCTGTTGATGCTTCAGGAAAGCTGGACCATGAGGACCCAGGCTGCCCCATGGTGCCTTTAGCCCATCTGAGACACAGGGAATCAGGGGTTCAGGCATAGTCTAAGAGATAATTTGAATTTCTCAAAACCAGAAGGGTATGACCCATTTGAATAAAAGGAAGCAAAGAAAAAATAATAATAAACCAGCAGATCCATTTTGTTCTGACCAAAATTAAGGCAAGATCTCATGATATGTAAAGGGTACAATTAAAATCATTTTCCCTGTGTTTTCTTTCACTGGGACAAATCATTTGACCCACTAACCAATCACCACTAAATTTCTTATTTAAATCCTGTGTAGTTGAAAATTTTTCATTGACTTTTAGATAAGAATGTGTACTAGACACTCACCTCCACTGTCTTCAAGGAATCCTATGGCACCCTCCATTTGGTTTCAGTAGTTTTCTTGACATGTCTGCAACATAGGTGAGGACAGATGTGAGCATCCCCAGAGCCCTGGAAAGAGAGTTCTACTTGCAGTCCATGTTCAAAACAGTGGATTAAAACAGGGCATAAACTGTTGTCTGACAGTTTAATCCCAATGATGGCTTCCTACTCTAGTTCTCACACCAGCAAAACGTTTCTACGTGTGTTAGCGTTCCCCACTTGAGAAGATGTCATTTGATAATTATTTTTAGTATATTTTGTCCATTTACCTTTTTTTTTTTCTCCCGAGACAGTGTTTCTCTGTGTAGTTTTGGTGCCTATCCTGAATCTCGCTCCGTAGACCAGGCTGGCCTCAAACTCACAGAGATCTGCCTGCCTCTACCTCCTGCGTGCTGGGATTAAAGGCGTGTGCCACCACTGCCCAGTGTCCATTTACCTTATAAGTTATGAGCCTGAACACAATAAAATCTTCCGTCCTTTTTTCTTGTAATTGAGAATTGATTTACAAGGCCATGATGGGACAGCTGTTTTGACATTTGCCACTCTGGCTCTGAGAAAAGAACTAAATTTCTTTACTTTAGCTGATTAGGATTAGTGGGCAACATTATTGATTTAAATTTGCAAAATGTCAATTGCTTTACTTGGTCTCCTTGTGTGAGGGAAATACATCAGCAGTTATCACACAAGACAATGAGGATAGACAATACTACCCATCTAATTCTCAAATTGAAATATTACTGCTTTTAAGTAACTTAAAAATAGGCAATAGTCAACAATTGGATTCAAAACCTGTTAAATAGAAAGAAACTCATGCCTGCCATTGTAGATCAACCCAACTACTAATGGTTAGTGAGGTCATGGACCCTACAGGACAATCTACTATTGCCATTTCCTAAACCATTATAATTTCTAACTGAATTCTAAATACATATCTTTATACCCACAGATAACTGTGGCCCTCACCCCTCATCAAAGAAGCTTCTTTTAGCAGCAGATGGAGACTACTACAGAGATCCACAACTGATCAAAATGTGGAGAAAAACTGACCATGGAGTTCCTCATCTCCAGTTGATACATCTACCCCATAATCCCTATATCTAAGGCTCTCGGAAGGTGAGGGGCAGTAATATTTTAAGAACCAAAGGACTGAGAACTCTTCTGCCAGATACTGTCTTCTATATGTGACAGGGAAGCTGTACGCATGAAATCTCAACAATATAGTCTCCTAAGCAAGACCTGCAAATGATGGCACCAGTTGACATCCAAGCATGGATGGATGGAGGAAATCTCATAATCTCATAAGATTCCACACCTAGATGAAGAGCTACAGACAATCTCTCTCTCTCTCTCTCTCTCTCTCTCTCTCTCTCTCTCTCTCTCTCTGTGTGTGTGTGTGTGTGTGTGTGTAGGTGTATGTGTGTGTGTGAATTATAGAAGAACAGGTCATGATGTTTGCTTTTATTTTTATATGTTTTTTGAAGACAGAGTTTCATTATTACACATAGCTTTGGTCCATGGTCCACCTGGAACTCAATTTGTAGATCAGACTGGCCTTAAACTCATAGAGATCCTCCTGTCTCTGCCTCCCTAGTGCTGGAATAAAAGGTGTGTACTATCATGGGCAGCTTGAGGTAATGATTTTGAAAGGCAGGTGGAGGTATGAGAGGAATTGGAAGCAGAGAGGATGAGGTAGTGAAAATAATGTAAATATAGTACTCACATATAAAATTCTCAAAAAATAAGTTAAAAACTTTAAAGGAAAAATGAGTATGTGCATGTAGGTGTGTTGTAGCTGTATGGTCGCTACATGGGTGTGTGGATTTACACGGGTCCGTGGAATGAACAGAGGCATTTTAAAAATGAATCTAGTCTTTCATGGCTGCAGGGGGGTCCACCCTGGAAGGACTGAATTCTATCCTTTCGCCTAGGGCAGTTTTATTTCTCTCCAACACAGTTTAGCCAGTTAATTTCCATATGCTCAAAACAACCTGAAAGGAGCTCCCAACAATACAATGCCAAGTGCAAATTCCTCGATTTCTCAGGTACCACAGTTTTCCGGGTTTCCCTGAATCAAGTTTTGCATAGGCCTTTGTATCCTTGGGAAACTCCAAGAGAGGATTCACATGGAGGGTAATAAGGGAAACAAAGGATGTCTGCTAAACAAAAGATGGATTAGGGCTAGGTGCTACTCTCTGGAGCCAGGCTAGGTGCAGCTCAGCAGGAATGCTGTGACAGTGTGTGTATATATAAACAATAGGAAAATGTAAATCTGAATACTTGTGATAAATCCTTCACCTACAAAACTCTTGGTAAGATATTTCTCACCCCCCTCCTCCTTTTCTCCTGCTCTTTATTGGTGGTTGGTTTTGAGGAATGTGGCAAATTAAGGACTACTACATTACTATTTATATTGTTAACATGAAAGTACTTTGTAAAAATCTAGATTCCGTAAATTCCCATCGCCATTTAACTGTATCATTCCATGACTTTGGGTGAAAAATGAAAAAAAGGAAGAGAGAAAGAAAGAAAGAAAGAAAGAAAGAAAGAAAGAAAGAAAGAAAGAAAGAAAAGAAAAAAAGAACCAAAGAAAAAGAAAGATGTCAATAAGAACTAGTACCGTTGTATAGCAATTTCCTACAAATCAAAACATCTCCTCCTAGAAGGAGATAGGAGGGTCAAAAAGCTCAGGAGTTAAGGAAATTTATGTGATTTAGAAACGCAGACAGTAACAAGAATGAGATGTACCTGCCCAAAGTTATATTAGTAGTAAATAACTCAGGATGGGAGACACCTACAGGACCCTGCAACCCAGGGACGCATCTTTTTGGGGTACTTAGGGTGCTAGGGTGGCATTTTTGGAGATATAGCTGCCTTGGAGTCATCCATGCTTCTGTAATTAAACCCTCTCACATTCTACTATGAGCAACATCAATAAATTCATTAGTTCAGCAAGCTAGACTTGGCTATAACTATATCCTTGGTCTGCTGGGAGAGACTAGAGGATGCCCTATCTGAAGTAAATAGACATTTATTCGTGTTTATCCAAGTATTCTAGGAAAAGACATGCAACATTGTGGAAGGGTGGCTAGATGTATGGCTCCTTGGGACAACTGGGAAGCCTATCAGTTTAGTGAACTCATGATTTCTTGCCATTGTGGAGTTTTGCTTTATTCTTTTTCATGGTTGACAAATGTATTTTTGGTCCCTAGGTGTTGTGTTTGGAATTGCATCTCTTATAAAAAATAAGCTGAAATTGTATTTTCTGGTACCTTAGAGTGTGACCTTATTCAGAAAGAGGATCTTTGAAGATGTGATTATGACATAAGTTAAGATGATGTCACAGTGGTAGAAAATGGTCCTTTGATTCAGTTTTACTGGTATTTCTTACAAGAAGAGATGACAGAGTGAAGTTCCCCATGTCCAGTCAGAGGAACACTAGAGATTGGGGTTAGGTTGCCACAAGTCAAGATAATCAGAAATCAGAGAAACAAGAATTGACTCCCCTCTTCTAGGGTCTTTATAGGGACACAACTCTGATAGCACCTTTATTTGAGACTTCCAGTCTCCAGAACTGTAAAACAATGCATGTCTGCTAGTTTTAACCACCCAGTTTGAGGTACTTTGTAGCACTTGGGAACCAGTACAGCAGGGAGTCATCACCAACTCTTGGTGATACCTGTCCATCATGTATATCCAGTTTACAGCAAATGTTCAAGGGTAGCATATTTAAGAATGATAGGCAAACTCCTGAGAGGATGGCTTAGTTAGTGAAGTACTTATAGACATGAGTGTGAATCCACAGTACCAACATAAAACAACTGTGTGGCATACCTGCACCTATAATTCCAGAAGCAAGGACAAGGATTCTTGGTACTTATTGGCTAGTTAGTCTTGCTGAATTGGTGAGTTCTAGGTTCACTGAAAAACCCTTTCTCAAAAGTAAAGGAGTTATAGAGATGGTTCAGTGGTTATGTACATCCCACCACTCATGTAATAAGCCTGGGATCACTGCAAATCCTGTGACTCTAACTCCAAGGGAGGCTTTCTGGCTTCCAGCCTAGTCAAGATGAGAACTCCAGGTTCAGGGAGAGATCCTGCCTAAATAATAATAATAAGCCAAGAGTGACAGAGGAGGACACCTGATCATGAGCACACAGATTTGCACACATGTGTGCACATATACTTAGACAAACACATAAACACATGAATGATTGAATAAATGAATGAATGAATGAATGGATAGACGGATGGATGGATATTTTAAGACAAAAAAGTAGAGTAATAGAGGAATACAGCTGATGGTAACCCTGGCCTTCACATGCAAACACATATATGTACACACACTGAGCACATGTATACACTACACACATACACAAAGAATGAAAGGCAGAGTCAATTTTGTTCACAAAGAACAACAGCAGGTAAAATCGTCTAGAACTTGGAAATAATCTTGAGAGTTTATTTACTCTAGTGGTTCCTCCAAAATAGGACTTGTTAGAAATTTAGAATTACAGAATCTTAGCGTGTTTAAAGGATTTTGGAGATTTTTCCCTTCTTTAGAGACACATGGCGGGAGTTGTGACTTTAAAAACCTCCACAGATTGTGCAACACCCAAAGTATGCCCCACTTTGGTAGTCTGAATGTAATTGGCCCCCGTCAACTCTATGGAGTGGCTTTGCTGGAGTAGGTATGGCCTTGTTGGTGGAGGAAGTGTGTCACTGTGGGGGTGATCTTTGAGGGTCACTGTGGAGATGGCCATACCCAGTGTCTCAGACTACTTCCTATTGCCTGCAAGTCAAGATGTAGGACTCTCAGCTCCTTCTCCAGCACCATGTCTGCCTGTATGCCACCATGATAATAATAGACTAAAACTCTGAAAATGTAAGCCATTTCACTTAAATGTTTTTCATTTATAAGAGTTTCCATAGTCAAATTACAACACCCACTGATTCAACTCCACCTCTAGTTAGTGGATTGTGATAACCTCTTTCCTAAACAATGGGAGATATAATGGTGAACGGAAGACTATTCAAGTTGGGAATTGATGTTAGTTCAGTCTGGGAAGTCTTCCAGATTCATTAATATTTTAATTTGGCACTACTGAAGACCAAAAGCTTCTCAATACTTAAGGAAAAAGGCTCAGCACATAGTGTCTCCTCCATAAATATCTGCCAGATTAGGTGAGAAGCTAAGATTAGCAAGAACTAGACTAAAGAATGTGGTAAGCAAAGACTTAGTCTGTTTGTGCTACAATAACAAAATAACTAAGACTGAGTCAGTTATAAGAAATTGAATTTATTTTTCTTAGTTCTAGAAGCTAAGGAGCTTGAAATCAAAGTGCTGAGAATAATGAGGGCTTATTCCTCATACAAAATCTTGTGTGTCTTTCCATAACGGAAGGTTGAAGGGGGAAAGAACCTAACTAGCTCTCTCCAGCTCCCTTTCCCTTTCTATTTCCCTTTGAGATAGGGTCTCTAGATCAAGTTGGCCTTGAACTCCTTACCAGACAGAGGATGACTTTGAGCTTCTGATCCCCATGCCTGTACCTCCCAAGTGCTGGGATTGCAGATGTGTACCACCACTTCTGTTTTTTTGTGGTGCTGGGGATCAGGCATCACCCATGCTAGATACTCTATCACCTGAGCAACAAAATCAGCCTCCTCCAATCCTTTTATAGGACACTCCCCAACCACGATAACAAAAACTCTTCTGGCCTAATCATCTCCTAAATTCTCCTCTCTTAATACTATTGCTTTGGGGGTTAGGGATCAACAAAAATTTTGGAGGTGACAGCATCATTTTAACCATAGAGGATGCATGTGAGGCAGACAAAGAAACAGAAGAAAAGGAAAATCCAAGACAGACTTGGTCCTAGAGTTTTATATAAAAGAAGCCTTCAGAAAGTTGAAGTTCTACCCAATTTTGATAGAAACTTGGAACTGTAACATGGGAGCAAGAGGTGTCATAGGAGCCTCATACTTTTTACTTCTCCCAGTCTAGTTAGCATTTGTGGACACAATAGGTCTTTCACCCTCTCTTAGGATCTCCACTAACTCTGGAACCCTCTTCAGCCATCCTCCTAAAATATCTAAGTTAGATAACAGTGTGAAATATGCTAATGCAACTTGAAGCATACTTTCCAGTCCTGGCTCCCACCTCTTAACTCCAATCTCATGCAGCTCCTACGTCCTATGCCCTTCTTCCATAGAAAATGTTAGAGTTGCCATTGCTAGCGAGAACTCATTTTGAAATGTATGCCTGGGATAGACCCCAATATAAATCAGAAAGCAATATCTGAAACCCAACCCTTTGTATATTACCCATAAAAGAGAACTGAATGGTTTTGAAAGGAGTCTGTACCACTTGAAGATGAATAGTGTGGCTTTTCAGACAGAAGTGCCAAGAAAACTAGAAAGTGTCAATTCTCCAAAAGAAGAAAAGCTGGAAATAATTCTCTGTATGTCCATTGTTCGGTCTTAATACCTAGACTCTTAAAGACTTTTGAAATCTTTCAAACAGTCAAAAGCCATTTGGAACTTGACCAAATTTACTCTCACAAAAATGTACAAAAGTATTCCAGCTATCGCCCACAAACTGAATCAAGTGTTATAGCAGAATGAAAATAAATTTGATATTAGTTTGTTTTTCTCAAAATCATGCTTGTGGAAAAATGTTAAAAATTCAAAACTTGGTGGTCTGCTCATGGTGTTGTAGGTTGTATTGTTTGGGATTGTTTATTTGTTTGTTTTTCAGACATTGTCTTTTGTAGTCCAGGCTGGCCTCAAACTTGCTATGTAGCTAAGGATGACCTTGAACTTCTGATCTTCCTGCTTCCACCTCCTAAGGACTAAGATTACAGGCATGGACCACTGTGTATGGATGTGCTCAGTGCTTTTGATATGGTATCATTAGTGAAGAGTTCTTCTTTAACATGCATATGAATTCCACCCATCATTAAACCAGCCAATCAGAATACCAGTAGGGAAGCTGAAGCTTCCATCTGTGAAGATGCTGCCCAGCAATTGAGTCCCAGGTCATAAAGCCTTCCCTAGCATTAGGGTAGTAATAGCCAATATCAGACAAGAATTCTCCATCACCCAAGCACAGCAATTATTTAGATATTGCTGATTTGCAACTTCAAACCTTACACTATCAGTTACTTTTCTGTTGCTGTGATAAAACACCATGACCAAGGCAGTTTACATAAGAAAGAGTTTATTTAGGTTTACTATTCCAGAGGCATAAGATTCCATCATAGCAGGGAAGCATGGCAGCAAGCAGCAGACATGGTAGCAGGAAGATGAGCATTAATATCTTCAAATGCAAGCACTAAGTAGAGAAACTGAACAGGAATTGATGTGAGACTATCAACACCCTTCCCCAATGATAAACTTCCTCCAGCAAGGTTTTACCTCCAAAGGGATCCAGAATGTCCCCAAGCACCACCACCAACTAGGGACCAAGAATTCAAACATCTAAGCCTCTCAGGGACATTTCTCATTCAACATACCTACCAACTTCCAATGTCCACTAGCTGCATTCACTGCTTTATATTTCTTGGTAGCATGGATCTCCATCAAATGCCTTTCATCTTATTCTTTTTTTTTGTCATCCATCTCTCCATAGCAGAGAGCAGGAATTTTCATTTATTTTGTTTACAATTTTTACCTGGCACCTAGAATTAGGTCTTGTACATTCTAGATGACTTAAAAATATTTGTTGAAATATTGGTATGAAGATTAAGTTTTATTACATTTATTTATTTTGCACATGCATATATATGTGGGTATGCACATGTGCAAGTCAGTGGGAATTTATGGGTGTCAGTTCTCTCCATCTACAATGTAATACAGTAAGTTCATATGTTACATTGAATAGGACCAAAGAATGTTCAGATTTCACCCACTTATTGATAGGAAAGTCAATTCATTTTCTGACTAATATTATCTTACTGAAGCAAAGACTTGATAATAATGAAGAATAAAAATTCATGATGAATACTTTGTGCTCTTTCTCTTCACATGTACATTTCTTCTTCATATATATATATATATGCACATAGAGAGGAGGGAGAGAGAGAGTGTGAGACAGAGAGAAAGGGAGGGAGAGACAGAGAGAGTCTCATGTAGCCTACTCTGGCTTCGAACTATATATTGCTGATAGACTTGAACTTCTGATCTTCCTGCTTCTACCTCTTAATGCTGGGATTACAGGTAATTTGGCAAGCACACCTGGCTCTTATCTGTGAATATATTGATGTGGATCTACCTGATAGTGTCTGAATGTTAAGTGGTAACTACCTAAGACCTTCTTTTTGCACAATCTGGGCTCTTCTCCCAATTCTCAGTAACCCAGGTGATTCAATGACAGAGATGGGCAAGAAAATCTTTGACTGGAAGAGTACAGGAGTCAGCTGACGCCCAGAGCAGAAGACAAACACCAGGATCCTAGCACTGGGCACTCAACTAGGAGAACTCACTCATCTATGCAGAGACCAGAGTCACCTACCCCCTTACCCTATTCACTGCAGAACACTAGAGCAGGAAAAGGCAGTGCACACCTGCTTCTCTAAGCTTGGATCTATGTTTAAGATGTGATAGTTATCTCCTTCATTAAGGCTCCCACTACCTGGGCCCTTGGCAAATCTCTATTGAGATGGCAGGTATGCAGGGCAAGAGGATCCTCTAGGGAAGTAGAGCCCAGTATCATTGAAGACAAGAATTTTCTAGACTTCAGAAACTCCAGTTCTCTCATCAACAGACATCCTCTGCTATTCACTGGTAGCATTGTCCAAGACTTCAACATTAGCTCTTCATTTGTGCTTCCTGTACAAAAATCACCTGAGATGCTTTAAGGAACAAACACACTTGGGAGGCTGAAACAAGAGTCTGGCTGAACCTTTGAGGCTAGCCAGGGTTACACAGTGAATTTTAGGCCAGCCTAGAATGAGGAGACAGACCAAAAAAAAAAAAAGCCATGGTGGTGGTGTTGTTGTTGTTTTTTTTTTTTTTTTTGCATGTTTGGAATCCCAGCAATTGGAAGATAGAGAGAGTAGAGAGAGGAGGCCCTGGAGTTCCAGGTTAGCCTGTAGGAAGGAAAGAAGGAAGGGAGGAAGGGAGGAAAGAAGGAAGGAACGCAGGAACGAAGGAAGGAAGAGAAAGAAAACAATCCTCACCCAAACAAAACAAAAATTAAATATAAAACAAAAGCCTTAATACACAGACCCAGGGTTTCCTGCATAACTTCCAGGGACCAGTGAAAAACAGAAAAGCAGGATTGTTTGCTAAAAAAAATCACTAAGACTTTCAAGACACCAGAGTATTAAATCAAGTGCAGGGCTCCTTATAATTGGATCCCTGTGCAACTGCATGGGCCTCTGGCCCATGAAACCAGTCCTGTGTGCCCCCAAAATTCAGTTTTTATTGAGGTTGAGTGTGATTAAGGTTCATTTGCTAAATATTTTCTGTATTAAGTTAGGCTTAAAAACCTTGATTTTAGCACAGGTAAAAAAAAATAAAATACAAAAGATTTTTACAATTGCAATTGACACCTGCATCCAAACTTACCTCTAATGCAATTACTTAAAACCTTCACTCTGAAGCATTTCCAGTCTCCCCAGGGTGAAATCATCATGACAACATTCTTTAGAAAAATCTTTCAACCCATACAGAAGTTATAAAATGCAGTCATGAATCACCTTTTGATTCCCTTTTTAAAAAACAAAAATGTCATGAAAATGTCATATTTTCTCATATAGAAAATTGATATAATTTGAAGCGTTATTGCTCATCATTCACATGAAATTTGAAATAAAGCTAAACAGGATTATTTCTAAGTGGAAATTTATTATCATATCAATAGAATTCATGATGATACCTGAAAAATTAAACTAATGTCAACCAGCTTCCTCCTTACTTCAGCAGAATAGAAAGAGAAGCAAGTATTCCATTCTGACAATTTCATCCCCAAGATAGGTCCAACCCCCAAACCAGACTCACTACTGAGTATCTCTAGAGAATCTGTATATCCTCTCCTATCCTAAGATCTTCCTCAGAAGTGTTTCTTGAAGAGATGTTCCCTACTGCCCTGAGTTATAATGGCCATGGTTCTACCTAGAAAATAACTGAAGCTCCCTTCTCTTCTCTTCTTTCTCTCCTTGGGGAGACTCAGTTTCTTCCCAGATAAGGATTCATGTTCCCAGGTTCAGCTCTGGAAGCCAGAATGTGCTACTTCAAGGAAGGTTTGCCATGTTTCTATATTCACAACTGGTGGGGTCTGCTTGACCTAGATTTTCCATGAAAGGATCTGATCAGTTGTTTATGGTGTGGTCTTTCAGATAGAAGTGAGGTAACCAAAACGCTCTGAAAAATCCATTATCTTGGAATCATCACTCATCTTTGACACAAGATGTCACTCACAGCCACATCTTGAACCTGAAGACAGGTATTTATAAAAAGCATTACAGGTTTCTTTTCCCCTGAAATTTTAGTGTGCTTCCAGTAAGGGCTGTGTGGAGGCCAATACTAGTCCTCTGGCCAGATCACCTAGTTCAGTGGTTCTCAACCTTCCTAATGTTGAGACTCTTTAATACAGTACTTCATGTTGTGGAGACCTCCCAATCATAAAATTATTTTCATTGCTACTTCATATCTGTAATTTTGCTACTATTATAAATCAAAATGTAAATATCTGATATACAAAGGCAGAGAGAGAGAACATCCAAATTAACAAAATCAGAAATGAAAAGGAAGACATAAAAATAGACACTGAGGAAATCCAGAGAATCATCAGATCATACTTCAAAAACCTATACTCCACAAAACTGGAAAATCTAAAAGAAATAGACAGTTTTCTGGATGGGTACCACATACCAAAATTAAATCAAGACCAGAAAAACAATTTAAATAGACCTATAACCCCTAAGGAAATAGAAATGGCCATTAAAAGTTTCCCAACAAAAGAAAAAAAGCCCAGGGCCAGATGGTTTCAGTGCAGAATTCTACCAGAATTTCAAAGAAGAGCGACTACCAATGCTCCTCAAATTGTTCCACACAATAGAAACAGAAGGAACATTGCCAAACTCTTTTTATGAGGCTACAGTTACCCAAACCATACAAAGATGCAACAAAGACAGAGAATTACAGACCAATCTCCCTCATGAACATTGATGCAAAAATACTCAATAAAATACTGGCAAACCAAATCCAAGAACACATCAAAAAAAAAAATCATCCACCATGATCAAGTAGGCTTCATCCCAGAGATGCAGGGGTGATTCAACTAACGTAAATCTGTCAATGTAATCTACCATATAAACAAACTGAAAGAAAAAAAAACATGATCATCTCATTAGGTGCTGAAAAAGCCTTTGACAAAATCCAGCACCCCTTCATGATAAAGGTCTTAGAGATCAGGGATACAAGGAACATACTTAAACATAATAAAAGCAATTTACAGCAAGCCAAGAGCCAACATCAAATTAAATGAACAGAAACTCAAAGTCATTCTACTAAAATCAGGAACAAAACAAGACTGTCCACTCTCTCCATATCTATTCAGTATAGTACTCAAAGTTTTAGCTAGAGCAATAAGAAAACAAAAGAAGATCAAGGGGATACAAATTGGAAAGGAAGAAGTCAAACTTTTGATATTTGCAGATGATATGATAGTATATATAAGTGACCCCCAAAAATTCTACCAGGGAACTCCTACAGCTGATCAACACCTTCAGTAATATGGTGGGATACAAGATTAACTAAAAAAAAATCAGTAGCCCTCCTATATACAAATGATAAATGGACTGAGAAAGAAATCAGAGAAACATCACCCTTTACAATAGCCAAAAATAATATAAAATATCTTGGGGTAAGTCTAATCAAACAAGTGAAAGACTTATATGACAAGAACTTTAAGTCTTTGAAGAAAGAAATTGAAGAAGATATCAGAAAATGGAAAGATCTCCCATGCTCTTAGAAAAGTAGGATTAACGTAGTAAAAATAGCAATCTTACCAAAATCAATACACATTAAATGTAATCCCTATCAAAATCTCAACACAATTCTTCACAGACCTGGAAAGAACAATACTCAGCTTCATATGAAAAACAAAAAACCCAGGATAGCCAAAACAATCCTGTACAATAAAGGAATTTCCAGAGGCATCACCATCCCTGACTTCAAGCTCTACTATAGAGCTATAGTAATAAAAACAGCTTGCTATTGGCATAAAAACAGACATGTGGATCAATGGAATCGAATTGAAGATCCTGATATAAATTCACACACCTCTGAACACCTGATTTTTTACAAAGAAGTCATAATGGTTCAATGGAAAAAAGAAAGCCTCTTCAGCAAATGGTGCTGGTATAACTGTATGTCAACATGTAAAAGATTGCAGACAGATCCATATCTATCACCATGCACAAAACTCAAGTCCAAGTGGACCAAAGACCTCAATATAAATCCAGTTACCTGAACCTGATAGAAGAGAAAGTGTGAAGTAGCCTTGAACCCATTGGCACAAAAGACTACTTCCTGATTATAACACCAGTAGCAGGGGCACTAAGATCGACAATTAATGAATGGGACCTCCTGAAACTGAAAAGCTTCTTTAAGGCAAAGGACATGGCCAATAAGACAAAATGCTGGCCTATAGAATGGGAAAAAATCTTCACCAACCCCACATCTGACAGAGGGCTGATCCCCAAAATATATAAGTAAATCAAGAAACTAGACATCAAAATACCAAGTAATCAATTAAAACATGGAATACTGACCTAAACAGAATTCTCAACAGAAAAATCTCAAATGGCCAAAAAACATTTATGGAATTGACCAACATCCCTAGCCATCAGGGAAATGCAAATCAAAATGACTTTAAGATACCATCTTAACACCTGTCAGAGTAGCTAAGATAAAAAACACTGATTACAGCTTGTGTTGGAGAGGATGGGAGTAAGGGGGAACACTCCTTTACTACTGGTGGGAGTTCAAACTTGG